GGGCGGGAGAGCTGCGCCTGCCGCACGGACCGGTGGCCACCCCTGTGTTCATGCCCGTGGGCACCCAGGCCACCATGAAGGGCATCACGACCGAGCAGCTGGACGCTCTGGGCTGCCGCATCTGCCTGGGCAACACCTACCATCTGGGTCTGAGGCCGGTGGGTGGGTTCTGCCTGGGAGGGGCGGCGGAGCTCGGGGAGCCCTGGGGTGCCACCAGGCCTGGGACTCGAACCCGTGGCTCTGGGCACCCCTCCAAAGTCACTCGACAAACGGGTATTGCGCGCGCGGGCTGACCCAGGCTGGGCGTGCAGGAGCGGCGGAGATGGGAGGCCGCCGGGCTGTGGGTCCCTAGAGTCACACTCATAACTTGCCACTTTCTTCCACCTCCCCAGGGCCCCGAGCTGATCCAGAAAGCCCAGGGTCTGCACGGCTTCATGAATTGGCCCCACAACCTGCTGACGGTGAGCTGGAGGCCAGGTCGGGGCTGGGATCTGAGCGCGTTTCTATGGAGTGAAGGCCCCCCCCCGTCTCCACCTCTGACTGCCTTGAGGTGGGCATTCTCCCAGGATAGCGGCGGCTTCCAGATGGTGTCCCTGGTCTCCCTGTCCGAGGTGACCGAAGAGGGCGTCCGCTTCCGGTCCCCCTATGATGGCAAAGACACCCTTCTGAGCCCAGAGAAGTCTGTGCAGATCCAGAACGCGCTGGGTGAGCCCCGCCTGGGAGCTGTCCTGTCTGTCAAGGGTGCAGATGCGAGGCCCCGCCCCCCAGCTGCAGTGTGGCTTTGGGCAGGTCTCTCCCCATTGCTGAACTTGGTCGGAGCCAACTCAAAGGGGGATGAACAGTAGCATAGCCTTGGGAGGGTGGCCCACAGAAATGAAGGAAGCCCCTGGGTTGTCCAGGCATCCCTTTGCCTGCATTTGTCCTCTGGGGACTTGGGGCACACTGGCACACATGCCTGGCATGTTTTTTTCTTTCTTTCTTTCTTTCTTTCTTTCTTTTTTTAAATAATGATTTATTTAATTTTCTTTATTATCATCATTATTATTTTTTTCTTTTTTTTGGGGGGGGGGGGGTTTTTGCTATAGGGAGCATGCGTTTGCTAGAAAGACAGAGAGAGACAGCGAGACAG